TTTTGGAACCTAACTACAGTGTTATACAGGGGGATATAGTTTTTATCCAGCAATAGCAAATATAATAGCCCAATGTAATCCAGCAATTGTTTGACTTTAATATAATTATTGGACTTACAGATGTTTATATTTGCATACTAGCAAATGAGCCCAGTGTTGCTTGAGCAAATGATTTGGATGATTTGGTAAATATTGTACATTTGGAAATTAAATTATTACTATAAAAAAAAAAAAAACTCGCATCTAAAATAGCACAGAAGCCGTTCTTCAGATTAAGCCTTAATCCTCTCCCTCCCCCGTGGGGAGATTTCGAAAAATCCCTTCTTAGTGTGCATTTTCATGACATATCCTAACTGTGTACCAAATTTCACCTCTTTAGGCTCTGGGTGATGATGAATCAGTCAGTCAGAACATGTAATTTTATGTACAAGTGTGACAGTTAAATTCCAGGACTGGTGTAATAAAAGGACATAAAGAACATATAATGAAAAACCCTTTTAATATGTTTCAAAGTAATCCCCCTGGAGGGCAATGCACTTCTCGCAACACTTGTACAAGTTCTTGAAACACTTGGCAAAGTCACTTCCGCTGACAGCTCTCAATTCCTTGGTCACATTGTGCTGTATGTCCTCCAGGTCATCAAATCTTTGTCCCTTCAATGTGATTTTGATTTTCAGAAACAAAAATAGTCAAAAGGCGACAATTCTGATGAGTACGGAGGGTGGTTCAACCCCACAATACCATGTTTGGCCAAAAACCCCTTGACAACAGTCGCAGTGTGCGGGCGGGCATTTGTCGTGCAGCAGTACCCAGCTTCCTCTTGCTGCAGACTGAGGCCTAACCCGACAAGTTGTCTCCAGATTGATACCAGTTGTCTCCGTTATCATCCAAATAGACATTCGATGGTCATATCGCAGCAAGTCTTTAATTTTTTCAATGTTTTCTGGTGTTCAAACTGATTGAGGTCATCCAGGGTGAGCATTGTCCTCAAGGTCTTCCTGACCATCCCTGAAACACGCAAACCACTCAAAACACAAGAGTAGGATAGGGCATCATTCCTATAAACTTGATGAGGGCATACGTCTCTGTTGCACTTTTACCCAACTTGTAACAAAACTTAATGTTAACTTTTTGTTCCATGACAAAATTGTGACAGCACTTTCTCACAGAAATATGTGAATGGAGTACAGGAAAAGAATGAGTTATGAGACATGAACAAATCTTTGCAGACAAGTAGCCAGATGGTTGAACTATTATGACAAGCTTAGACAAATTTCTGCATGCTGACACTGCAGCGCTACACGACCAGTCCTGGAATTAAATTGTCATACCTTGTATATATATATATAGATTTGGTACAGTGTAACCTACTTACAAATGCTTAATATACAAGAATTTGATACAACAAACTAATTCTTCTCTCTCTTCTCCATTTAAAAGAAAATACAAATATTTGATACTATTTACAAAAAATATTTTATTCATGAGTGCAACATGATTAAAATATCCATCACTACAATCATACATGAAAGAAATGAAAACAATATACAGAACATGAAAGAAAGAAAATTAAAATCTGAACCTAAATGGTTCATATTTTAATTTTCTTTCTTTCATTTATATTGTTTTTACATTCACTAGAGGTTTAGCTATTCATTAATATGATTATACAATGTATTAAAAACTTTCCCTACATTTGCAACACTAACATTACTAAGGAAATGTGGAAAGGGTTATACTGGAACAAGGCACAAATTTTGAACATAAGAAATAACAGAGAAGCTTGTTTTTATTTATGAGAGATTTTCTGGAAACATAAATTGGGGTTATACTCTGCATGTGCATGTGTGTATATACACAGTTTACACACACACTTGTGAACATAGAATACATTTAGGGCCAAGTCCAAAGTGGCCAGCCATTTCTAGTTTTGTTTTGTCTAGTTAATGTGGTTTAAGTCCAAACAATACATATTTTTAGGTTAGTATTTTACATTTCTATGCATTTGGAGCTAGAACTATTTAAAATGACTAAGACAAAAACGGCTAGAAACAAAGTGAAAAAGGTTTTGTCTTAGTCATTTAGTATTTTACATTTCATGGTCTAGCAACAGATGCTAAAGGAATTGGCTGCCATTCCAGACCATGAAATGACCAACATTTTCTGACCCGACGTTAGTCAGAAAATGTTGGCCAGAGTAAAAAGTTTGTAATTTCCTTAAAAGTGATATTTTAATTTTACATTCTGGAAAGTGTATACTGAAGGCTTAAAAATAGAAATGTTTAAAATGTTCTCATTGATAATAAATTTAATATACTTCTAAATTAAAACATTGTTATGACTTTGCATTTTGTAAAAGTTGTTACTATACATTAAAAAAAATTCCAGTGGAATATTTTGATTCTAATTCTGATATTTAGTCTTTAAAATGAATACATTTTAATATGTTATTTTAGAAATGCATAAAGCTGAAATATTTTCTTTCTTATACACATTTGCAACTGTATATTTGATGATATATATTTTCATTCCAGATCACTAATACTAATTAAAGAAAAGTATTTTAAATTTAACTGGATAATATGACATCAAGCCTGGTAATTGCCAATAATAATAATAGAGCCTGATTAAATAATTTTCATTCCATAAATATTTTCATAATTTTAAATTTACAGCATTTCTCTTTTAAGTTAAACTTTTAAAATCTAAAAAAGATTTTTAATAAAAAATGTTTTCAGCTACATTAGTAGCACTCATCACATTGGAATTTAGATTGTACACTTATGCTGAAAAAAAAAATTAATAGTGCAATTTTTACATTGGACTGGTTTCTCCTTTATCTTGCAGCAATATACTCAACATATTTTTTTCACATCACTCTTTAATTTTATTTTACTGCTAGCCTCCTACTAACTTCTCTCTCCAAAGTTGACCTCTTTTAAAGTAGAGAGGATTGAAATATGAAGACAAATCTCATGGCCTACTGTTGCAAATCACATGAGACAAGAACAGATTGGCAACAGTGTAATGTGTTCACACACATCCATTTGACATAATGTTCAGTTTTGGTCAATCACCATCACCATATCCCAGACAAAGTACAAAATGACAAAATTTATTTATAGTGCATGAAACAGATTTCAGACAGTGACCCTATAACACACACTTATATATACAAACTTTAATTTAGCATCACAATTTGATTATCTCTAAAATTGGCACTAAATCAAATAGGTAACTAAACTAAGTATCTGAAACAATAAGAAATTTTACATAACGTACAGTAATAAGCTTTGCATACAGGTGTGTGTGTGTGCACACATGCACTTGTTTGTTGTTCAAAAGTCGAATGATGCATTTGCAATGAAAAATTGTAATTTAGTTATTTACAGTTATTGAAGAAATTTCTATTTAATATTTATGAAGAAGATTCATTCATGAGTGTTCAATAGTGCTTTATGAGAGAGGCACTAATTAAATTAAGGTTTGACTAAACATACACTAGTTACTATTTCAGAAATATTTATTTAAAAAAAACAGCATTATCAATAAATAGAATCTGAAAATTATCAACTGGCAATTCAAAATCTGGTATCTTATTGGATAAGCAGTGTATTTTTGCATTACATGCATTTATGATGTTTGACTTAGTCTTCTACTCACACTTATTAATATTTCCATTCCAGTATTAATAAGTGCACCAAACCAAACATTACTCATTATCGAGATAATAAACTCCTGGAGAATTGTTTAGAAAATACTACAAAGAAGGTTTGGTATTAACTTAGTCTTGTTTTAATTACAGACAGCATATATAATTGATTGATTTCACAGTACATGCTATTTAACAGCAATTATTTCTGATCAAAAGTTTAGTAAAGATATCTCCAGAATAAAATAAGATATGATATTCTGATAAATAAGTTTCAAGAAAGATGTTAGTTTGCATTTAGAGATGTGATGATGCAGAAGCCGCAAGAAATTAAATCAGTAACACTACCGCTTACTATATGACAGTATTTTAACTGTACAGTACAAAATCACTTTTTCCCAATATAAAACGCTACAGATAATTTCTTCTCATTAATTTCAATCAAACACAATGTAACCAAGATAATTAAACATGCAATAATTATTCCAAATATAAAGATTAGAATTAAGCTAAGCCAACAGAAAAATTGGATTAACCCAATTATTTAATATAATAATTAAAGTGGACTAATCGGATTAGCTCAATTCTTTTCTAAGTGATTTTCACCATAGGGATAATTATAAATGTAAATTAACTATTAACCCAGAGAATTTCGTCATAATTAATGTTTCTGCAAACGGCATTAATATAAGGCATCGACAAAAGAATTTGTAAGTGGATAAACTTCTACCTTGTCCATTTACTTTAAATTATTTTGATAAAGAAAAATAAAACATAGTTTGTATATCAATTTCTAAGCGTTAACACTTAATTAAGCAGAAAATAAATTATATATTTAATTTTAAAAATTTATTTAGGAAAATTCACCATCAATATAACTTAAAATTTAACATAAACATGCACATTTATTATACATAAAGCTATTTTTCCAATAAAATTTAATCAATTAATTTTCTTTATTAATTACATAAACTTTAATAAATTATTTGGATAAGGAATAATTCTAATACAAAGCAAATAAAGCTTATCATTTATCATTCTTTAACAAATAATGACTACTTCTAGCAATATTCTATCAGATAAAAGAGAAACCATATAAATGTAATTAAAATAAAACCTTTCACATGTTACCTAGCATAGATCTAAATCTGGAAGAGAAAGTATGTTAGCTTCTACTTATTTGAATAGAAGATGATCGCCCTATGTAATCATTGATACAGAATGAATATATGTATATATTGCATGCAAGCATGAAAATATCATCTCAGATCTTTATACACAGAATCTTTCCATTTCTGCTGTTTTGTACAGAAGTAACAAATAATAAATTCACTTGCGACTATTTTACCTTTCAATTCGTCGAAAATCCTCAAGATAAAGATGACAGACGAGGAAATGCAAGTGTTGCTTCCTACCGTAAAAGGTCAATAAAAAAGGGGTGGAAACTCAAATGTATTAAACAGTGCAAACACCTCCGCTATTATTTCAATTTTTGTCTATTGCCATCTGGTGACGACAATACAAAATATAACGTTTTTGTAATTTTATTATTATTATTATTATTTTTATTTTTAAATTTGCTAGAGAATATAATATTAATTACGTTATTCTTAATATTTAAATTACTTTCATATATTCTTTATTTTACTATTAAATATAATATATAGAACTTTTTTTGAAAATAGATTTATATAGGATAATAACCAACTTAATCCTTTCATTTGTTTCTCGATAAATAACTTTAATAGCTTTTTTTTTGTTTGTTTGTTTTTCCATCTTAATTAATTGGTAAGATTTGCCCTCCGAATGAGGGGGTCGCCGCCCCCAAAGGGTAGTCCTCCCCTTGAGAGCCATCCTCTTTGAGAGATTGCCATTCCGAGGTCCCATCAAATCAATCAACTTATATATAGTCTACTTATTTTGATGAATGACAAACCTTCAATAATTCATAGTTCTACTAATTTAATTTGATATTTGTGCCTATATTTCATCAACCGATTGATGAAAATATACCCATACAAATGATGTTTTTCACGTCGTAACTAGCTATAACATTCCCAGAGACCAAATATGAAGATGCAATCCACTGCCAGCCTGAAATAAACAGTAATAAATAATTACTGATTTTAAAAAAACCCAATATATTAAGAAGCAATATACTGTTTTGCAGGAATCAATTTCCCCAGAAGAAAGATTATTAACAACATTCAGATTCCTTGCTACCGGTAGATCATTCGAAGATTTAAAATCTTTCTGCAGCAATTTCGGCAACAGTCCTGGGAAAGATTATTCTCGAAACATGTGTGCGGTAATAATACAAGTTCGGAAACATGACTGTATGAAGGTAAGGAAATCCTTCATTTTTACAAGTATGTATGAATACAAAACAATAGGCCCACCAGTGGCCAAGTGGTCTTCGTTCCCTGAACAGAGTTCGGTCGTGGGTTCTCCGGGAGCTTTCCGAGTTTTCTCCACGTCCGTAACGCCTAAATAGGGGTCAGTTTCTCTTAAATAAAGACCTCCCAGAAGGCATCCCCTAGGCTGATCGCCCAAGTGTTGCATTGCCATAAACAAAGAAAATAATAATAACTGGTTGCAAGCTCTTGGCACAGACATATTACTGACATAATCAAGTAGCAAATTTAATACACCAAAGAGCTTGCAAAGAAACACAAATTATTAGACATCCACGAACCATACTACAAATACAGAGTTAGCGAGAAATAACTTTTCCACTTCAGAAAGCTCTGGATTACTTGAAATGAGACAAAATTTGGACTACAGATAATTCAAATGACGCGCTCGACATTTCTTATTAAATAAAAAAAAAAATTATTCAAAAATTAGTTGATAGGTGGCGCTGGAGCGCACTGAGATATTGAATATGCGTGCACATATAAATGTTGAATATGTAGCACTACAACTGTTCAATATGTTCTTCATTTTGAACAATGTGCTCTATTCGCAAAACCATACTAAGACAGCATTTCACAGATGCACGGATAATAAGCAGTTATTTTCCTACAGCATGGCCTCCTCTTTTGCGGGACATCACCCCTTGCGACTTTTGGTTATGGGGTTTCCTGAATAATAACGACGGTTGTAGAAAACCTGCATCTATGCTAGATCTGAAGGACATCGTGTTCTGGATATTCCGTCAGACTCACTGCGTTCAGCTAAAGAAAATATGGTTTTGCGATTAGAATTAAAGTAGTTGGACTGGTCACATGGAGTTTTTCGGGTTTTCTTCACGTTAGTAAACCACCTAAATAGGGGGTAGTTTCTGATAAAATACTTTCCGGGAGGCATCTCCTCTAGACATATGTTGCGTTGCCGTAATCGAATAAAACCAAACCAAATACGCCTAAAAATAAAAACGTGCTGCCGACAAGTTTTCAAGTCAACTACAACCAAACAAATATTCTACGCTAGGGCCTATCTTCGTTGATGTGAAAATTACAAATACTCTTCCACTTCACTTCTTTTAAATGGCACGTAGGATTTAGGGTCATCTTGCAAGCGAGCATTTGAGGGCGGCGTGAGGCTTGGAATGAAGGCACTGTACAGTACATTACACTGTCAAACTTGAAATGAACACGTAGTCTCACCGGGAGTGATAGTGTAGGATCAGTTTAACACTGAATAATAATAATAATAATATCTATTGGATTTATTTTGTAAGATAAGCAAGTTAGTTCATCTGTTTTCAATCTTTACAAAGAATTAAAAACTTTTACAAACTCCCATATAACTAATATCTGGAGATTCCAAATAATTTAAAATACTTCCATAACTGCGAAATTACTGCTGAGAGAATAGCTCCACAACTTTATAAGTTAGAAAAAAATGTATTGTCATTCTAACACAATTAGGCATAAAACCACAAATGGTACTGGCACATAGCTTAACACTGAATTTAAATAGCTTATATAATTACAGTAATTTTGAAACAAATAAATAATATCCATATATTTCGAAATGTTTGACATAAAAAATTTAAGAATTAAACAATCATTTCAACAACTGTTATTATTAAGGAAACAATACTTGTCGACAAGAATGAAAATAACTTCAGATATTGTATGAGCTATGCATTTATCTCTACTTTAAAACATTAATAATTCAGTGTGACTTCTACGATCGTAGTTATGTTTGATTAAGAAATTATTATTCATCACTTACAGTTCGAATTCTGAATAAAAGATAATTGCGGTTTCTTCTGTTCAACGCGAACATCTGCGATCTGCCACGTAATAAAGGATTGACACAGATGTGAGACGTTAAGCAATCCAAAACAACATGCAGAAAACATGTAGATTTGGAAAAAGAAGATATATAATATAAAAATTGGTGTAGTTACAGGAATGGTATTGTATAAATATTGGTATAAAACAGTACGAGACAGTAGGAATAAGCATTTGTTAATTAATTAAGCTACAAGAGCATTGATATTATTTCACAATACTGTATGTCATTTAGAATCTATATCTATATATATAATCGAGACGAGTTGATAATAATAATAAGCGCAGAGCCCAAACGGTTAGAAATTGAAAGCTGAAATTTGGTACGCAGTTAGGGTACGTCACGAAAACGCACACTAAGAAGGGATTTTTCGAAATTTCCCCGGGGGAGAGGTACAGGATTAAGCTTAACATTTCCATCAACAATAGAAGTGTTGAGTAACAATGGAAGTGTCAACAATGGAAGTGTTAAGAGAAAGCGACGTTTTAAAAGAAAGTGCAGTTTTTTTCGTTTTTGCAGGAAATCGAAGTTATTTTTAGACCCATCTAAAAATTCTCTAATTAGTCTGGAAACGAGGGACCCAATTCTTGCATTCTGTGAAAACGGGTAAGGTTGACTATAACGTATTCGCTATCGTTACTTTGCCCGAGCAACGCCAGGCCTACCTGCTAGTTTCTTAATACTTTCGAGTTGTCATTGTTATACTTCGGAAGGATATTCTTGTGCCCGAGAGCACGCCTTCGTCGTATCTGGCGTGGGACTCTGGGACTCTTAGATATACTACCGTGTTTCCCCGAAAATAAGACAAGTGTCTTATATTAATTTTTGCTCGGAAAAATGCGCTAGGTCTTATTTTCAGGGAATGTTTTATTTATTCCAGGAAGAAGAATTCACATTTATTATTGAACAAAAATTTCCCAAGTCGAACTTAGACGAGAGTGACGTATATCCGGTGTGTCGAACTGTCGCCTTTTTATAGCGTCAACATCGGACTCCATGACCAATTAGTGCTTACTGAACCGTAGCACTATGCAAATATCATGTGGCGTGATTCCCGGCTGACCAATTAGCCATCACCAGCCGTAACGTTATACAAATCTGTGATTCCCAAGCCATAGTCTTATGCAAATCATGCCGTGTGGCGTAATTGTCTGCTGACCGATCAGTGGCTGTACTTTCAAAAAGCCAACGGCTATTTCAACCATTGTCGATGACCGTTACGACTAAAAGAAAACTTCGCTAGGTCTTACTTTCAGGGGGAGGTCTTATATTTCGCAATTCAGCAAAACCTGTGCTAGGTCTTATTTTCTGCGGATGTCTTATTTTCGGGGAAACACGGTAGTACACATTACAATTCACTTAAGCTTTTCTGTGAAACTATCTGGCTAGCGGATTTATAAGGAATGTTTAATTAAAAACAATTCTAAAACTTATACGGATAGAGATTTTTAAAATATGTTGATTGAAAAACTCCATGTTTCCATTCAAACTGACTCAGAACGATGAGGGAAATCACTAGTCTGAAGTTGGATAGAAATCACCAACAATTTCGACTCTATAAAATATCGAGTGCACTTATAATACAGTTGTATCTATTAATCTCTATACCCCCATTCCCCCCATTAAAAAAAGAATCTATATGTGTATCACGTTTTTTTGAAAATAAAATTATGTAAATTATTCTCTATAACATTTTGGATCTTTCTAACAAAGATCTCATGTTAGTAAAGTGCTTATCTTCAAATAATTTATATAGGCTACATTACGATCTACTAAAAAGTATTATATTAAAATTTTATATATAGTGTATTGGGAAAGGTTTGATCAGAATTATATTACCGCATGAGCATATCAAGCCACGGAAGGACGATTTTTCCTTCTGAGTTGCCTGATACTTACAGCTCACTACTAAAATTTTTGTTCTATATTCGTATCCATATAAAATTACATCGTGAGCTTCGCAAGTGCATAAAATTATAATAAATAAAATTTGATGTTACTGCATTTTGTTCACGAATACAATAGCTCATATTTGAACGTTCTCGCCGGCTGATAACTGATCGTATGGTACCAGATAGCTGGCGCTAACACATGAAAAGATACGAGATTGTTTTAAAGAAATCCAGCAGATGATAAAAGATCAAATTACTAGATTTAAGTTCTTCCATTTCTGTAATGACAAAGATAAGATCTTGAATAGGGATTCTGTCACGTGTATGTTAGATCAGTTCTACTAATTACTTCTGTATTGAA